CTGTTCCTTGAAGTTTCTCAGAAACGCTTAGTAATAACGGACGCAAAAACCAAAACACCGATTGGCCACTCGAGAATTCTTTATTTTAACACCATAATATAGGCAGCTTTAAAATTAATTTTTAACTAAGGTCTATGAACAAATATTACAATAATAAGTCACAATATTACTTCTGACAGTTTTGGTCTGAATACTTTCTGAACAGTGACCGATGAGACGATGACTGGTGTATTGATGCCTCCGCGAAAATTGGGGAAGTTGGCTTTGAGCAAACAACCATGAATTGATCGTTCAATCTTCTACTACTTTGATATGTAGGGTGTTGAGTAGCCTATTGTGTTTCCAGATTTCCGAAAATTCGTGAATTCTTCTATAGACCTGGACTTGGAAAGCACCGGACATGAGTGGTTTGCAGATTTCTTACGAAGACGCAAAACCTGACGTTCTGTCATCCGCATTTTACAAGCCTTTAGACATGAAGTTTTAAGTGTAGCAATAGGCTCTCTGTCTGAAATGTTACAGGCCGAGACGCTATATGAAGACATAATCCTTATAACAACTTCTTCAGCCAAATAGTCAATCATGTGGTTGGATTTGGTAAGTGATTCAAGACATGTTTTGTGATGGGTCACACAGTTGCGTGAGAGGCGTAATGCTGTCAAACTTGCTGTGTATGTCTGCTATTGACTTCTGAAGTGTCAGTAAATCATTTCGGCCGAATTTTCTGTCAGTTCCTCCATGATGTCAGATACCATAACTCTGGGTGTGTCTGGTGTAAGAAGTGTAGAATCGTCAACGGAGCTGAGGCCTTCAGATGGTTGATTAGTATTAGATCCCAGTCTCTTACAGGTACTCACGTGTTTGATAGACGTAATCGTTACAGAAACAAGAATTTTCACAATCTCCGAAAAAAGTCTTGAGGATCTGAAAAAGAGATCTCTGTATTATCGAAGCAACAAAACAACAGCAATAAACGGATATATATTGCAAAATAAAAAGTCAGACTTTCCTTTAACAGTCCTTGCTGGGGATAAAACCTGAGTTCCACGTGTTTAGAGAGGTTATCAGAAAATTCCGGGGTATAGATTTCATGAGTGAATACTATATGTAGATGACACAATACAATCCTTGTTAAGTATGGATATGTGCATTATGTGAGGAAATCGGCTAATTTCCAAAATAATAAGGAGAGATTATTCACGCAGAAACTAAACACCCGTAGAGCAACATGATCCTAATGGTGGTTGGAATACCTGGGTGGGATAAGCCATACAACGTATTGAAGGCGTTACGAGGAGAACTTTCAGGCACGGTGGGGTGAGGAGTACTCGTGGGAATGTCATATAGAATAGTGGCTCTTCCCATACTCGTATTTTCTCGGTTAATTTCGGAGTTACTTTCGAAAACTCATGTTGAAGCTCAGTATCTTCTTTTTGTAAACGGGCCAGTATCACTAGGTCTTTGACATCTATTTGGGCGAGGGAACAAATGCACGGCAAGGCATCTGCCGCAGTCCTGTGCACTCCGGATACACGGTGAATATCCGATGTAAACTATGAGACGTAGTCCAGTTGACGTGATTCTCTAGGCGAATACTTATCTGAAGTTGAGTTCAGAGAGTATGCCAGAGGTTTGTGGTCAGTGGAAATTATAAATTCTAGACGTACAGCACAGTACACAGCCAGAAGTTCTCTGCCGAATGTGCTGGACTTCGCTTCTGATAATTGTAGACGTCTCCAGAAAAAGGCGAGTGGTTGTCACTCTCTGTTGACTAGTAGTCGCAGAACTGAGTCGATTGCAGTGTCTGATGCATCAACCGAGATACTTGACGGTGCTGTTGGATCCTGATACATTAGAAACCTGGCGTACGCAATAGCTTTTGAACCTGAGTGAAAGCATCTCGAGCAGACGCATCAAGTTCGATGGACTTGTTATTGCCTCGAAGAAGGTCTGTAAGTGGCTGAATCGGAGAAGCACAGTTGGGAATAAACCATCGGTAATGACTTACCAAGCCGTTGAAAGTGAGCAGACTTTTCACTGTCTGTGGCTCTGGAAAGTTCAGTATCGCTTCAAATTCACTGGTCAATGGGCGAATGCCCTTGCAGTCAATGGTGTGGCACAGAAAGTCAAGTGAGCCAATGCCTATCTGATACTTCTGAATATTATTGGTGACACCACGTCGGCATGACCTTTCAAGTGCAAAGCCCAAATGTCTGGGGTGAGTTTCCTTGTCTGGACTGGCAGTGAGGCAGTGGTCTAAGTATGCGTATACCAAGTCGAGACCCTAAAATACTCCGTCAATGAAATGTTGGAATGTTTGTGCTGCATTCAGGAGACCGAATGGCGTACGCAGAAATTCGAGAAGTCCAAAAGGTTTAATGATAGCCGTTTTTGGAATATCTTTTAGGGGCCATCAGTATTTGGTTATACGCTTTAACCAAGTCTATTTTCGAAAATATAGTTGCGCCAGATAATGCTGCTGTCAAGTCGTGTATGTGAGGCAATGGATAGCAATCAGGCGTTGTTTGGCGTTCACTCGCCGGCAGTCACCAGTGGGTGGCCAATCGTTGCTTTTTTCTGTACATATGCAGTGGGAATGCATGGGCTATCCGATCGCCGAATGATGCCAAGGGTGATCATATGGTCGAGCTCATTTCCAGCGGTCCGTAGTCTGTCAGGAGCAAGTCGTCGTGCTTAAGGTGAATCGAGTCGTGCATTATATTGCTGGTAGTGAGCGGTAGATCTTTAGATAGGCAACTAAGTTCCAGGAACTTATTAACAATCGGCTGGCATGTTGGATGAATGATTGCTTTCTTCGCAACGAGTGACAAACTATGGCCTACGTAGGTGATGACTTTAATAGACAGTCTAGGAGTACTATTTGTCGGCGGTTTTTGGTGGACGCCTGCGAGTAAATCATGATGATTAAGTAGGTCTGTGCCAACGATGGGCATTGTGACGTCAGCGAAAAGGAAAATCCACCAAATATGTTTTCGTAAACCTACGTTCAGAAAGACACAACTTCTACCAAAGGTTGCGATTGGTCTTCCATCCTCAGCCTTCTGTCGATCTCCTGTTGCAGGAAGGACGTTGACTTCGGCGTCCGTGTCGACTGAGTGCCGGGTCTGGTTGACTACATCACGAATCTATAATAGACGACTAGTGCCACCGGCGACGGTTGCCTCTAACGCGTGCCGGCATGACAGTTTCTTATGGTCTTCGAGACATTGTCAAAAATACAAGGTTTTCGGCAACATTTCGCTTCCTGACCATAGGTATTGTGATACCAACACCAGTCAGGGGTTTTAAGTGAACATGCCTCGGATTTAGATAGGAGGAATTACGGGGACAATTTGACCTAAGTAGTTGCAGGACGGAGTTGCATAGCCATCACTGCAATGTTCCTACCCGAAGATTGTTTGGCAACTGAGCATATTTCAATGGCTAGCCGTTCTGTTACTTCTAGAATTTTATCTGCAGAAGCAGCTAAGTGGTCTGAAATAACACCCTGAAGTGTCACCAGCACAGCCTGTACTGACTGTGGCAGTTTGTACAAGAACAGTTCTCTAAAAAGTCCCTATTCAAAGTGACGTTGGCCAGTAACTTCCCTCATTCTCGTCACAAGTCCACAGTCGACTGATTGCCTAACTCCACGTTGCGAAATTGTTCGTCAAGGCACTGTTGATCCTTAAGTTGTTTCTCTTTAGGAGGGTTGCTTTAAGCAACTCATACTAGTTACTTACCTCTGGGCTTGACATATGCACAGCTACGCATTTGCTTTATTCCCGCGATAGGCCGTGGAAAACTGCAGGGGGCTGTCAACGTAGGTCAGTTAACTCGTGTACTAAAACCAAACTCCACTATCTGAAACCATGATTCTACGTTATCTGGCCAAAATGGCTCGGGCTGAATGGTTTTAATAGTTGACCGGATACGGATGACCTTAGGCATATGGTCACTCATGCTGAAATATATACATTTCAAAAACGGTACAAGAATAAATTCAAAATGGGACGAACTCACCGGATTTGTCCGTGTGCCTACCAAAGAGGAAGTTCGCGGTAGCGCCCACCAGTTTACAGGCTGAGGATATTGACGTTCACGGATAGTACGAAGTGTACTAACCAAAGTCTATTACCCACAACTTCTATAGTATTCGTTCCGCGTAGACCAAAGGCAAGGTAAAACACAAAAATTTATCGTCCAAATTACGGATTATATTTCGGGACCAAATCGGGGTGAGAGATGATTTCTTAACCAGCTAGGGATCATGCACGAATGAACGGACGTAACACGACAGCGTACCAAATAGCGTGGATGCTTGACTGGAGCGTTCAGCTAAACAAATCGACTAAAACAATGATGGTAAGCATCCAATATTCAGTGATGAATGTCGTGGCCAATAATTATGCAAAATTAACTACCGCTACAAGCCCTATGTTCAAACCGAAAAATAAATGAATCATAATAATTGTAATCTGGATGCGGGGTATCATTATTTTTTGCATTCACTCTTGTAAATCTATACAATGGCATTGGAAGGTCTCCTGCAGTCTCTAGGATCGTCCTAGGAAATGAATATTATGAAATAATTTAAAAGTGAAACTAGTTGCATGGTCAAACTACAGGTGGGACATAATTTTTTTTACCGGATTCCGATTCTGGCTTGTTAGTCCACTTCCTCGATTGTAAGAATTTATAACAGATGCCTAGAAGTCATCTGAAGCAGCCAGTCATTCATAAAGTTAGTGAAGCTTATAAATGTTTAGGTGGGGTGCTTACTTGAGTGTTAACTAAGGACTCTAAGATACTAACTCCCATTAAAATTAACAGCGCGAATAAAATTTCAAACTTAATTTAGTAAACACAGAAGAAATACACTCCGATCAGATTTCAAGGGTATTTTAAGTTCCTCTAAAGAATATTTATGTTGAATATCGAAAAGTCGGGTGTTTAGAACAAATTGTGGGAAGTCAAACTGTTGCGCTGTGCATGCATTTATGATGAACAACTTGAGGAAGATATTAAATTTGGGAGTAGTTGGTGGGGGATTGGTTGGCGGTGCTGCAGCTCTAGGTCTAGGTCTTTCACAATCTTTGTATACAGGTATGGCTAACTAAATATAATTAATTTGTGTCAGTTGATGGAGGTCATCGTGCTATTATATTCAGTCGCATTGGTGGAGTTCAAGATGAAATCTATCCTGAGGGTTTGCATTTCAGGTATGTTGAGCACTTCAATTACATTTTCGTAGAATACCATGGTTCCAATATCCAATCATCTATGATATTAGATCGCGACCTCGGAAGATAACATCACCCACTGGGAGCAAGGGTGAGTCTAAACAGTGTCCGTCATTGTTTATAAGTAACACTCCACTCGTGCTTTTAATAGCACTGATAAGCAATGTCTGTGCTGAATTTCACCACCGACAAGTCACTTCAAACTCCTGCTGATAAAACGACAAAGTGTGATATGTAAATTCGGTGTAATAATTTTAGAAAGTGAGCCGGTGACAATTGACATACTGAAAATTGGTCATTGTCGCCTAATGCGTTATCTTAACACTTTCTTTTTCATATTAATTGTACTTGTAGTCGGTGCATAGAGATTTGAATTTGGTGAGCTTTTCACAGACTCAGACTGCCTCAGCAGTGTATCCGACTGCTTATCGAGAAAGAATGCAAAACTTGAAAATACCCGGGATTACTGCTATTGTTAAACGTGTATGTACCCAAAAGTGTTGTAGGTAGAGAACGATGATGGATAGTTTGTGATTGTTACTGTAATATATTTTTACCCGCCGACTGATAGCTGGGCATATTTAAACTATAGAGGACGCCCTGATCCACTGACTTTTAGCAACTAATTTTAATTAAGGTTCAGTAAAATTCGCAAAATTGCTGTTTACATAATTACAAATCATGGGATTCTGACATCTGTTTATATTTTTAGGTGGACCATTGTTTTCACTTAGGACCATCTTGTTCTGATTACACTAGGGCTTTTAGTTAATATCTCTGACACTTCTTGAATCTACACCAGAACTGTTCCTCAAACTTCATGAACCGACTAATTTTCTACAAATCCTGGTGTGTTTTATGAAAGTGTCCCCATCGTTTTTCCTCAGGAAAGTGCTGGTTAGGTGAAAAGATAAGTTGTCGGGGAGACTCTTAAGACTTGTCAGAGATTACGATACAGGTAAAATATGGATAAGCCTCTGATGCAACACCGACCTCAAAAGAATTCAGTCATGTTTCGTCTCTTCTGTGTTATCATGTGTAGTACTAAGTGTGAAATAGTTTCTTAGGGTTCATTTTATCTCCACTCAGGTAAATTTCGTATAATTGCATTAACACAGTAAACATCACTATCCTTATTTAACGGCGATTTCTTCCTGGTGGGCATCTGTATGCTGTTGTCTGACTGCTTGCGTGTTATTCAGTCTAAGAATTCCCCTCTGTATTACTTTCAGACCTGCAAACTGTGAACCTCACGTTGCGCGTCTTATCTCGACCTGAAGTCTCGCAGCTTCCAAATATATATCGTACGTTGGGTACTGATTATGATGAACGCGTATTGCCGTCTATTGTCAATGAAGTTTTGAAGGCGGTGGTAGCTAAATTCAATGCTAGCCAGTTGATTACTCAGCGTCAACAAGTGTCTCTGTTAATCCGTAAGCAATTAATCGAACGAGCTAGTGATTTCCACATAATTGTTGATGATGTCTCCATCACCGATTTGACATTTTCACAAGTTTATTCAGCTGCTGTTGAAGCTAAACAGGTTTGTCTATCCCCATGTTATTATTTATAATTGTTGTTTTATATCTTTGTACAGCCTTAAATTAATAGTTTATTATTGAAGTCTGATTAGGATAATTCAGTTTGCTTCAAAGACTAGAAGTTGCTATTGCTAAAGATGCGGATTTGGGCATTTTGGTTTAGGACTGCGCACAACTTCACTAGCATAGATTTATTTTCTTTTAGCTGGTTTAATATGTCTAGTCTGTTGGAATCAGCATTCGGTTAACAGACTATGTCACTAATGTCATCTGGATAAATTAGTAATTGATACTAAAATTTCTCTTAAAGTTGGTGAGTAGTTTCCAAGGCGAAGTACCAATCATATCCGAATTTACTTAATTTATTCTGACGAAACAATAAGTAATGGCGAAGTTGCATTCACTAGTTTTGATCTACCATTTGCACTAAAAGCCTATTGTTCTTTCATGTTTCTGTATTTTCTGCCTCAAATTTCCGCTAATTATAGTTCTTTCGAATCTCTTTTTGTCTCTCCTTGTCTCTTGATTTGTGTGCTGCATGGAGGGGGACAACTCAAACTACTTTACTTCTATGCAGAGTTCTATGTACAAACTAGTCAATCACTCAGTTAAATAGCTAAATACAACATAATAATTTTTATGTACTAAGGAATTTGATATATATATATATATATATATATATATATATATATATATATATATATATATATATACTTCATGTCCTCAATTTTCCGGATCGTAGCTTCAGCGTCCAGTCTTTGTCTAAGTATCAAGATATTATGACGACCAATTTCGTGTAGCTTGACATATACCTCTTTCTTAAAGGTCAATTTATAGAATGAATTTCGGTGTTCTGACCATTATATCTCTTTGTGAACTCGTGTGAACAATTAATTTCCAGGATCTCATCATGGGCTGACATTGGTTAGAGAACCATTAGAGCTAGCGACTTGCCCTATTCAGGTAGGTGAGAAGTAGGGTGCAGCAGGTTGGGTGCGAAGACAAATACTCGCCTAGGGCATTGGTTAGTGGTTGCGCTATATCGTCAATTATCAGAAGTTAGAATTCATGGGCTTGCCATTGGATCGAATCCCAATGGCTTAATGGTATACGAGCTAGCTCGCCTTGTAACCGGAGGGTCCTGGGCTCAAATCCCGGTGAGTGCGTGCTGTGAGCAGCCCCAAACTAGAACAACGGAAACAGCTGTTCAGTACTTCCTGCAGGTTTTCCACTGGTTCTCTAACCAATGTCAGCTCATGATGAAATCCTGTAACCAATCAACCAAATCCCTACAAACCAACACTTAAATTAAGTTTCAGTCAGTATTGTTCCTTCATCTTCAAATATATATCTCCTGTGTATATCCATTGTAGTTTTTCACGTGATCTATTTCTATTCTCTCATCGTTTAACATTATATTCATATAAATCCCTGTGACAAATATATATGTGGCCAGATTGCTTGTAATGTGTTGCATAAGTATACTACACTATTCAGATAAATCACATCTTATTGTTTTCTCATATATTTTGAAAATACTTAGGTTATTTGTATATAGCGCAATGAATTGATCTAAATGTTACATAGTAGACTACTAACGCGGCTTGTACATTTGGTAATAAGTTGTCTTTATCATTATTTTTTATTAATTTGTTCAGTAAAGAACCCTACACATGTTAGTATTGTCACTCCAAAGGTTGTTCGCAATCTAACAGTTTCCTATTGCATATTGAAAACTGATCAAAATATATTTTGCAATTAAAAGTATGTGACTATTAGATTGGCTCACTGCGGATATTTCAGTTTATATGACTAGGGTTAGGTGTCTATTCTTCTCCCCAGTGGAAATAAATTTTTGGTGGATAAATTGTGATAAATTGCATCCACTCCTTGTGACTTATGATCTCCAATGAAACTGTTTTGTTTTTCCTTATTACTCCTTTGTCTCACACCTGTGCTCACTGTTTCTATTATGTTTTTCTTGTACTTTCTTCTCTTGCTTCGCGTGCTACACGGAGTGTGGCGACTTGAACTGGTGCACATTTGTGCAAAGTTCTATGTCGAAAACAGACAGGATAAATTGTGATGCTATCAAAAAAGAAATTCTAGAACACGGTTCCCTAAATTCTGTGTGGTGATTGATAGAGATGTCCTCGTGATATTCTCGTTTTTTCTTCATACCTAGAGTAAGAATAAAGTCACGATACGAGGAGGTAACATAACATCAGAAAGTGGACTACTCAAAGAGCTAACTTATTTTTGGACTCAATATTGCATAATTTATTTGTACATCCTTGTTAGTCATATTTGTGTTCAACGTGTAAGAAAATTGGGCTCTATCAGTATCCGCTGTATGCCTACACCATACACATAGTGTTAATTCACTCTCGTTCAACAAACATTATTTGTTATTTGACCACATCATAAAACTTAATGTCACTGTTATCCAAAAAGTGGAGATAAGCTTAGTGCATTCATTAGTGGGAAACAGACTACTTCTAAATTGACATTCAGTTTTCACAATATCTTTATGACACTTTATAGTACGAAAACTAATCAACTTAATTTATAGTATGAAATGACTACTCAAAAGGGGTTTCACCAAAACATAGAAGTTGCGAATTTAGTAATGTAACAAAAGAGTATAGTTACTTGTCCTCCTAGAAACACAGCTGAAACATTTCTAGTGTTTGCTTCATTTCTATATTATTTATGTACTTATGTACCGTAAGTTAGCTTAATTGTCCATGCTCGTTTGCACCAAATATTATGTAAGTCCAACTTTTTGCTATTCTGTTAACGTTGCTTATAACACCAAGTCTTTACATTACATAATTACGGCGAAATCTATGGTCTGATATCTTTTATATTTCAGTCAGTTTGCTCATAATGAAGTGAAAGTATATGAATTTTCATAACCATTCATTAATAAGTGATATTTAGAATTTCAGATACCATGTACACACTATTTTTTGTTTGTTTTTGACTTACGTTAATAGATTGCTCTCCAAGAAGCACAACGTGCACAGTTTCTTGTTGAACGTGCTAAACAAGAACGTCAACAGAAGATAGTTACAGCTGAGGGTGAAGCTCAAGCCGCAAAACTGATCGGTGATGCTCTGGCTCAAAATCCGGGCTACCTTAAACTCAGAAAAATTAAAGCAGCCACTCAAATTGCTAGAACAGTAAGACATTCTTAGATTTTTATTTTCTATTGTGTTCACTTATGTAAATACCCAGATTTCTTTACATTCATATTTCTGATCAGTCATTACTAGTCAGTTATCAGAAATATTCATAACTTATGAATACAAAGAAGACCTACGTTGTTTAACACAGTATACGCGTGAATGAATGGCATCTTTGTAATAATAAAAACCTCTCTGTGATAACTAACGAAGAAATAATAAACATCATCTGTCTACCGTCTCTCTAAAATGTTGGAACGTTGAAATTTATCTTAGTGTTTATAATCTTTGAAGTTAATGTATTCTATGTAAGACACTGTGGTCTATAAAAGCCTCATTTCGTCACTTAGTAAGTATGGTTTACTATAAATTCGCATTAGTTAGCGAATAAATATCTCAACAGTTGTAAAATTATTGCAACCATGTATCGATAGTACAAAGTTTCCACGTGATTGTATCCGTGGCACCAAGTTTTATGCTATCCTTAGTAGTCGAAGTAAGAGAGATTTATGATTGTATCCACAGTTACTGGATGTAAACAACAAGTGACAGTGTTTTAGATGTTACCTGAAGTACTTACTCTATTTGTTTTCCACACGTTACTACAGTCCCACTACTTGACCACAATTCCCGAACAATTATTTTCTAAACGTTCACTTAAAAATGACAGGTAAAAACTGAAAGAGATGTTGTATAACATCTTGAAATAAATCCAAGCGATGAAGTTGATCCCGCTTATCCGACCAAAATTTAGTTTACTCAGCATCCTTCACTTTTTTCGTTACTGTGTCGTCTTGGCAGGACACGTATATTCTCTGATTTGCATCAGTGCGAAAACATTGTAGATGGTTAACTTGAACTCGACAGGCGGTTTAAGGACATCCGTCGTAAATGTTGTACTGGAGATCAGCATTTTGACAAAACAATGAGTTTATTATTATTATTGTTATTAATAGAACAAAAACATGGTACATTATTAGCACCAAAAGACGCACCACACAAAGACTAATAGTTTGTGCGAGTTCTGGGTTAATGCTCGGGCGCCTACACCGGAGTAGGTGTTGGTCTGATCCGAAAGACATTAGAGCATCGTCAGAAACTACGTTCGGCCCTGTACCAGGTCGCTTTTAAGGCTTCATCTCTTGGTGTCCATAATGTACCAATTTTGTGTTTTAAATGAATAGACTACGATTGCGACATTGTGTGATGTCTCTCTCATTCTCTTGTTTTCTGTCGTTAATGAATTATATAAAGATAGAAAAGCTTACTACATAGTTTTTACAATGATAAATGTGCGTTAATGTTCGCTTTAAAGGAAAGCATAATTTAATCTCAAGTTATTTCAGAAATGTACAAACAAGAAATTAAAAACAAATTTTCTTCTATTATAATAGGTTGCACAGTCACAGAATCGTGCATTTTTACACTCTGGTTCTCTTATCCTGAATGTCGCCGATCCCAAATATGATGCCGGTTTGGATGTTTTGAGGAAAAAGTGAACCACATGATCCTTACCTCTCCTGTATGCTTCAATACTATTCCCAGTGGTTCGGAATTTTTTTAGGCTAGTAATTTTTCACTTCGAATTCCCTTTACATTGGCGTATGTGGTGTATTTCGTGCTACTTTTTCTAACTTACGAAATTCTCTTGTATATGATTAGTGTACAATTTAAATTAATTGTTGAACTATTATCATTTTTTTCAAAAATAAAATTACTGAAAGAAATGAATACTGACTATTTATCCATCACACATTGTGAAGTGCCGTAACGTGTTGGTTACCTTTAAAAATAGGACAGTTGTGCGACGATTCAGAAGCAGATAGTTTCCTTTGTCTATGTAAACAATTTCCCAAAGCTGAGGGTGTTTTTTTCCAACTTTACATGCCATTGACTGCTGCAGTTCGACATTTGTACTCAGTCCGTCTAATCTTGTGGTTTGACTACATGTGAATGCCTATCGATAGCTGCTGTCTTGACGCGGTGGTCGAGCTTGTATATCGCAATGACTCAACATTGGCTACACTGGCTGGGACTAATGCTCTTGCAGGTCCAACCATGTCAGGAATAGGCAGTTTTGGAACATGTGCTTAGATTGCAATCTCGCTCTTGTTCGCGCACGTTTATGCTCAAGATTCAACGGACATGAAAAGGTGTTGACAGCGAAGCAGTTACGTCCGCAACTAGATCAAGGCACTGAGTCCCTGTTCAAGTAAGTAGTAGCGAAACGCGTATCTGAGGTCGACATCAGGGTTCCTCCTGAGACAACCTGGCATAACATACAGTTAGCTGTTAGGGCTGTTAGTGACCTAAAACCAAGAGTTAGTAAGAGCCAGTGGATTTCTACTACATCATCCGAACGACTTATTTCCGCGAACTTCGAAGGTTTCTCAAATAACTAAGATAACACAAAAGGTTTAGGAATCAGATATAGTCATTGATTTTCACGGTTTGTATGGATATGATTGGGGATTAGCTTGACTAAAATTATATCTATAGTTCTAGGCTCAATTGTTATGCGTTGATTAGGTCGTGTTCGGGAGAAAAAACGCAAAGAAACCAAGCAGGCTTTAAACCAGGAAGAGAATGTATTGACCATATCTTCACCCTTCGACAGATTGTGGAACCTAGGTATACTTACCTGCGTCCAACAATCGTCATATTCCTTGACTTGAAGTTCTCATTTGATTCCGTCGACCGGGAGGTACTAAGGCGGCGTTTGACTGTGAAGGGAATGCCGATAAAATATATCACTCTGATCAAGGCTCCCCTACTCGTACTCCACGATGTTGAAATGGTCTTGCATGAAGCTAGTGATTATTATATTCCGCATAGAAACTACGCAGTGACAATTCAACTTAGATAATGCTTCTTCTGCTCTACTTGGTATTCTCTTAATTCACCAATAATACTGCACCATAATACTACACGTTGAGGGAACCGTCGAATGACATCGCGCACGAGGTCATAGCTCGGGTGGAACCCAAATGGATAACGACGAGTGGGTCGTCCTAAGTTTGAATGGAGGAAATCAAGCGAAACGGAGATGAGAGTTTATGGGCAATAGCGTGCTCAGCTAAAAAAGGGCAGCAGAAAATATAACGAAGATGGAGCTGTGTTGTTGAAGCGCTATGTTCCATTCAGAACTCAAGGGAACAATAGTAAATTTATCATGGTTATTTGATGTTCGCTGGTTAGTCATCAGCCAGTTATCTAAGTAATCACTTGCTGTGATGTTAAATGTGAGTTACTAACATTCTCTTGTTCCCTAATTCACTATTCCCTGTCCGCCACTAATCAGTTCAGGAAAGGAAGCGAGCTGATCAGAACTTGTATCTAAATATATAACTAGCAAGATTGACTGACTGGTTTCAACGTAGAACTTTGCACCTATGTGCACCAGTTCAAGTCGCCACACTCCCTCCTTCTAGCACACAAAGAAAGAGAAGAAAGTAAAAAGAAGTGCATAATAGAGACAGTAAACGGAGGGGTGAGACAAAAGGAATAGTAACAACGAGGAACAATATAGTTTCATTGGAAATCATAAGTCTCAAGAAGTGGATACATCGGCGCCAGCCATTGAGAACGATCACTTTGAACCATATCACCAATTGTCTCCATTGATGCTTACCGTACCGAGGACCCCAACCAGTCAAGAAGTCTACACCTTCTTACGTAGCTGACTTAAACTAACTTAACTGTTGTGGATTTCATTGACCGATAAAGCCATGTTTCCGTTTGACCACCATTAATTCTTTTCTAAGCTGCCCCTATGCCAGTTAACATTGCCCGTCGAGGAAAGCGATGACTAGGCATACGCAACACATGTCCTAACCATCTCAATCGATGTAACTTCACAGCCTCATCTATGGGAATCCCCTCCCTACCTAGCACTCGACCGAGGCCTCACCTCAATATTGCTCAACTTATTATACCACCTCACACGGAAGATAGAACACAGACACCTATAATCAAAGACAGCTAGCCAGCCTTTTCATGTCTTCCACTCTCAATGGCCAGGTTTCACAGCCAGCCATAAGGGAGGACGGAGCAGACTGCTGAGCAGTACACCCGTCGTTTGGTCGATAGCCAGTCGGATATCACGTCTACACCAGAGACGGCGTAAACTGGCATATGCGAAACGAGCCCCCTGTATCCGTTCTGAGATTTCATCAGAGATCAACCCGTTGGCGATGGCTGATGGTACTTCCCAAATAAGTGAAGTGGTCAATGCGCTCTACCAATAGAAAAAGAAAATATTACATAATACTGATCCCACATAGTCAAGTTTAAAAAAGATAAAGTTGATAAGTTGTCTATTAGTCTTACTCTCAAGGATAATTCACCCAGTGTGAATTTTGATTGAGCTATGCCTGACTAGTTACCGATCAGTAATGTCGTCCTTTATCTTCGTATGCATCAGCAACTTTATTTCAGTGCAATAATCCTTGTTTGTGTTTTGTCTTTGAGTCACAGTCTCACTAAATTTTGTCCAATCCATCTTAGTTTACTTCAGCATATCAGTTGGGTGTAATATGCTCTTGGGTGGTTCGTCGCCACAGTTCCTTGTTGGTTATCTAACCTTCAGTACTGACCGAAGAAGAAAGCTGTTGATGGAAGTCTACAGCCTTTTGGAAGTGCTTCTTTTCACTGATGCACGCGTCAAGTCTTTGAACAATACAGAAGCACAGTTCTTGAATAGTTTTAAGTAGCCATTCTTTGATAGTTTGACTAAATAGCCTTTATTCCAGTTAACAGGTACATGCCTCTCCTTCTACAGCTTCTTCACTGAGTCGCGTGAGCATTTGAGCTTAGCTCTACGGGTCCGTTTTCAGTGCTTCTGAGGGAAGTCCATCTGGTCCTACTGTTTTCCGGTCCACAGTAACTTCAAGGCTTCTGTTAGTTCTGTGTCTGCTGGCGGTATTTTTCTGGACACCTTGCAGATGGTGGTCTATTTAGAAGTATTTTCAAGTAACCATTCAGCTGTTTCGTTTGTTTCACCTCTGATAATTAGGTTTCCGTCGACTATCTTTGATTTGTGTTTCATCAGTGTTGATATCTTTCCAGATAGCGACCTGGTTATCTAATAGTGGGAAGTGTGTCATACTGCCTACTTATTCTTCTTCACTTTACGGTGTATTGTAAAGGCATCATTAGTTTTTTTAGCACTTGTTTGTTCAGTGCACTGTGAATCATAATCAGCTCCTCCCTCAGGTTGTTAAGCTGCTTACTTACTTACTTTATTTCGGCTATCTCTTATGGGAGGATGCGCCGGCTTCATGAACATCTCGAATCATCGCTGCCCAGGCGCGGCGATCTGATGCAAGGTTTTGCGACAGGGTTATCCAATTCTTGTTCCACAGACGCAGTTCGTAGACGGTTTGTAGCCCCAGGCACTCCATATCAGCCTTGACTGTGTCAAGCCATGTTTTCAGCTGTCCACCCCTGCGACATCGCCAAGATGGAAATGGCGAGGGATTTAGAACTGATTTGATTTGACCAGATCGTCATCTGGTCGGCGCAGAACATGGCCAAACCACCGAGGGCGACATTGTTGAGCCAGTACTGGAATTTGGTTGATGTTGTAGAGAGTTCATGAAGTTTCATGGGAATTAGGTACGAGAGATGTCCCCAGCATCGCTCGGCCTTTTGTTTGAGAGTGCAGCTCTAGCCTTTACACAACCAAGCGTGACCTACAAGGCAGTAGGAGTGGAGTAGGGAGTCCACTATCCATTGGCAGCCGGTGACCGGAGTCCGGTTCATACGCCTTTTTGAATGGGGCCAGACATCCAGGGCATCGCATCCATACGTCTTACGGTGAGCTTCATACGCCAGTCGTTGGAGGTTTGGAGTCAGAGTTTAGCCATCTCCCCTAGACTGTCATCTAATGGACAGTCAACCCGTTGAAGAGCGCCGGGCATCCGCCTTTGCCCTCTCACTTCGGTGAAAAACACCTCCGCCACGTGAAGACAGTGAGTAGGACTTCCTCAGGAGAGGCTATGTAAGACGCCCGGTCGTATAGGAGCATTTCAAGAGGTGTACGGAGGGGTAGCCAACCCGCAGCGCAAGGCACCCACCCCCGACCATCCTGAGGCTTTGGAGGCCATCATTCATCTATTAGCCTCCATCGATTCGTACAGAATTATTGCTTTTCTCGCCTCTCATTTCCTAAGTTTTCTAAACACATTTCTCTCAGAGAGTTCCTGTGTAATTCTATGCGAGTTTCCTCGATGACGTTGCTGAATGTCTCCAACTTTTCTCTGATGACTGCTATCAGTGTCTGAGTGTTGAACTTGAATTGTGGTCTGTTTCTGGCCTCTTTCAAGACTCACCTTTACTATGAACGCTTGTTTGGTCAGTTAGTCTGAAGAAACCTATATCCCTTCGCTAGTACACTGCCTCAGATCATCGAATCATTGAAAGCGGAGAAGCCTGCAAAGGGTCCGCCGTTCTCACTCATCTCACTGCATAGGTGCCTCCCAACTGACGATGAATTCTC